TGGCCACTGGATGTGCAGGGAACATGGACAGCACCTCAGTGAGGGGCCCAAGGTCAGTAACCTGGGGACACTTGGGAGTCCCAGCAGGGTCATAGGCACAGGAGAAGAACTTTTGTCTTCCTGGGGCCCAAGAATCTGCAGTCCCTCATGATTGACTGGGGTATTGGCCAACATCAGAACCAAGAGAAGACAACAAAAAAAGGAAAAATGAATTTAATCACAATTTGGCCAAAACGGTGGAAGAAGCTGACCTGCATCTGCCTGTCCCACAAACACTGCCACCTACAGGAAGGAAGCCTGGGGACACAGATGGGCGGGCCCTGGGGACCCTGCTAAGGAGCATGGTCAGTCCCCTCCAGCCCTACTTTTCTTCCTGAGCCAGGGCTTTGCCTGGCAAAGGCTTCCATCCTGGACAAGGAACGCTAGCCTTCAGGGAGCTGGGACACGGCAGGAAATGGCAGGGACAGAGGAAAAAGTAACTAGGAGCTTTTCTTTGAAATTTTCTGATTTTAATTGGGCGGTGTCACTGTCCTCTGCCTTGTCCATCCCACAGTCCTGAGGGATGTGGGGCTCCATATCATCTGGCCCTTTATTGAGGGGGTGATGCTGAGATCCCCTCAAGGGCACCCAAACCTTGTGAGTGAAAAAGCCAACCTGCAAAGACGTCCACTGGCTCCACCTAGTGGAGGACATGGGAACCCTGCTCCAAGCCTTGACAACACCTGGTTTGGGCCATCTTCATTCTGACAATTCCCGCGTCTCTGAATAATTTTTTCTGAAGACATTACTGATTGTCCTCCAAGTGGTCTGAGCCCATGTCACCAGGGTGGACTTTTCCCGTCATTTAGACTGATCTAAATGATCTTGTCAAAGGGAAAGGGACAGTGTCAAAAGACCAAATTTTTGCCAAATTTGAGCAACAAAACAGGCTTAGAAAGAGCGGTTCCCAGGATAAGCATTTACCTGAATCCTGAAGCACCTGCCTGGGGTCTGCCAGGTGTAGCACCGGGAGGGCTTGCAGTGTGGAGCGGGCCTGGTCAGCTTGTGCCCTCCTGCCCAGCCCCAGGCTCCAGGCTCCCTGGCTGCAGTCACTGTCCTGTGCAAGTTCCCAGGACCCTACTTCTCTCCAGGGCTCTGTGGGTGTCCACCATGAAGGTCACTGAGGACGTTTGTGAGGCCATGGGGCACATAGCAGGTGCTCAGACCCACCTCTCATCTCATTCCCCATCCTCCCAACCCTGGGTGCATGGAGAACTTTGCCATCTGAGCCCTCACTCTCTCCTCATTCACCCTTGGGCTACCTACACCTGATTTTGATGCCAAAACCCAGACACTTTCTCTAATGCTAGAGCTCAGAGCTCCTGCACCTCCTGTGCCTCATCCTCCCCCTTAAAAGTGTGGATCCAGCGGCTTTAGCTGGGAGTCCATCTGTGATCAGGAACAGGCTCCTGGAGGCCCCAGATGTGGGGTCAATGAGGCATCAGTACAGTGACCCAGTGACCATGGCTACAAACTCACACTCAGGGTCTTTGGGAAAACATTTTATCTGCAATTAAATTCTATCTTTATTGTGTTACAAAACAGCACACGTCATTGGGGAAGTTGGAGAAGGTGAGAGCAGGAGGAAGCGGTGGGCTGCATGGAGACCCACAGGAGACCTCAGCCCCGGAGCCAGGTGGGCATCTCTGCAGTCTGTGAGCAGGGAGATGGAGGCCAGCAGAGCAGCCAAACCTTGAGCACTCCGCTGCTGAAGCTGATCAGGAGGCACTTGGTAGACACCTCCGCCCCACCTCTGACCAGGGCTGCATTGGCCTTTGCCTCCTTTCCTCATGGCAGGGCTGAGCAAGGCCATTGTCTTAGAGGGCAGGGGACATCTGCAGTCGAATTTTCCAAAAGAGCCAAGGCTGCCTTTCCATGTGAAGATGGCTTGTGTTACCTGTCACTACAGCCACTTTTTCCCTGGAAGGGCAGAAATAAGAACCTCTCAGGTCAGTGTCATCCCTCAAGCCATGGGGATCAGATCTTTTCTCTAGTTATAGTCCCCCCATCAGTCTGTCCCTTTCATCTATGGACTAGACCCATCATCTCAGGCCTGGTCAGGGGCACAATCTGCAGCCACACACTGATATGCCAAGAGCCAACATTAGGATCCAGGATGGAGAACTTCCTGTGGAGGAAGCGAGTACCCAGCACACCACGCCTGTCCCTGCCTCCACATGCCTGGTCCTGCTGCCTGTCCGCTGTCAGCTGAGCTTGGCTCAGGTGTGTCTAGGATGGGGTTGCCCTGGTCTTTATCTTGGCATTTGTTTTGTCTCGACCTGGCTCAGCTCAGCCTGGACTTGCTCTGGGCTTTTAGTCTTGTATGGACCCTTGGCCTTGTGACTTATCCTACTCTGTTTACACAGGCTTCTGTGTGCTCCTAGATTTAACTTCAGTCTAGGTATGGCCAAGTCTCTGAATGAGCCCCCCAACCCATGGAGCTCCCTTGGGGTCAGCTGCTTGGTAAAGCGCCTGTCATCTCACTGGAACAGTCAGGCAGAACAGCCTCCTAGGCCACAGGACAGGACTCAGACTCTCCTTAACCGGCCCCTGTCTGCATCCTTCCCTGGAGGGTGATGCTAGTACCACACAGAGCATGGGCCCAGGGGCAGATGGGCCTGGATTCTGGTACCTGCTCTGCCCCTTGTTGCTTGAGTTCCACTGACAAAGTCACATCAATCCCCTGAGCACCTTTGCCGTTTGGAAACTGAGGGGATCCCTGCTCCCTTACAGACTTGAGGCAGGTGGTCCATGACATCAGGTGTGTCGAGCATCCTGCTGACTCAGGGCAGGAAAAAACCTCTGAACTTAGGAAAGCTCTTTACTCCCAGTTTTACCCCAGGATAGAGCCAGAAGCTCTTCCTACCCTTGTGCCTTTTCAAGTCGAACTGGACCTATGACGTCCCTTCCCAGTGCCTCTCAGTTCCTGCTCCCACACAGCCGACTTGCTCTGTGCTCACATCGTCTCCCTCTTCCCCTCCAATACTACTGCCACTCTCCCCCTGCAAATAGAGGCTCAGTCCCACTCTTTGGGCTGGTTGATGGGGCAGAGGGGCCAGTCCTGCAGCTCAAGAGAGGGCCCTGCTTGTTCTGGAGGGTGATGGTGCCAGCTCTGTGGCTGTGCCCTTCTTGAGGGTGACCTGCAGGCCTGGCCAGGGCATTCCTGAGGGATGGAGCTTTAGCCCTACTAAGGTGGATGCGTTTGCCCAATCTCTTAGTTTTCAGCCTGAAAGTCCCTGTTGGTTGCTCTGAATGAAGGTATATATGGTTTTCTTAAACTCTAATTTCAGGTTCAGAGGAGCCCTGCAGAGCCCAAGCCAAGCTGTGATCTTTGGTTTGGGTTCTTCTAGAGGGAAGCAGTGGTGGAGGCTCCAGGAGAAGAGTCATTTGGAGGGACCAGAGGGCCAGGAGAAGCCTGGGAGGGAGAGCAGGCCTGGAAGCTGGATGGAAGCAGGGGAGACAGCAAACGGGTATTAGCCTTCACAGCTGGGCTGTAGGACAGAGCTGGCCCTGTGGCCCCAAACCCTGCCAGCTCTGTGCATCCTCCCTCAATGCCATGTGCATGTTTCCTTGTGCATGGGAACATGTGTGTACAAGCCATGCTCGGCCATGGCAGGGCTCATGCTTGGACATTTCAGCCCAGCCTAGGCTGCTAGGACCAGACTCCGGGCCTCCTGTTCCCTGCTATTCTCACGGCTTACGACCTGGGGATCTCTCCACCGAGTCTTGCTATCACCCATGCTCAGGATTCACCTGAGTCATGTTCAGTTGCAAACATGGCACTGCTCTACTCCAGGTCCCTTCCTGGCCATGCAGAGTACGGGTTGCATGAGGCATCTACAAAAGGAAAATCGGCAACCACCACCTGTTGCAGGCTGGTTTGCTGTTTTGATAATTGTCTCAATTTAATGATGAGATGGAGAAAAGGTTAATAATTCAGGAATATTTATGTCTGTAGCTACAAAAGTGTGTGGAACTACACTTCCAGTACTCAACACTAGCATCCATTCAATCAAGAGCACCCCTTTGCCCTACACAAAGTAGTGCAATGCACATGAATGTTCTGCTTGCTTTGTTTTTGTCTTATGTATAAATGAAATTATCAACCAACATTCTTGTCAGAACTATACTCAATATCAGCCTGTGAACACTGCAAGCAAATTCTCTCTTGAATCAGATAGTAGTGAAGCATTTGCTATGAGATTGATCTTGTCCATGGTAGTTCTGTGGCAACCATCAGCTGGCTACAGATACAAAAGTCCAGCCAGAACTGAAGCATTTGGTGAAAAGCCCTTAATCTGTAGAACTTATAATCGAGAGAAGTTTATTTTAAGATGACTTGTGAGGTGTGTGTCACATCCTCTATATCAGTAAGGTTAATAATGAGCACTCAAGTGCTCTTCAGAAAGCCTGCTGATCCACATCCAATGGAACCACAGGTAAGGTGCAGGGAGGGGCCCACTGGTGACCTCTGAAGTCCCAGGAGGGCTACAGGGCATGGCACACTACTGGGTGAGGCCCAGGACAAAGCAGGGCCCAGGCTCACCCCACTCAGATCTTTTCCCCACTCACCTGCTAGGCCTGGAGCTCTTGTTGCTCCCCTCAGTGCTGCTCCTCTCACAGGGTACAGAGCAGAACATTGCGAGGATGTCCCCAAAATGCTGGAACTCAAGATGGGAAAGGAGAACCCACTCTCAAACCCCAACACTTCCTCCAGGAAGGAACAGCCAGGACAGCCAAATGTCTCCAGCAAACATCACAAGCTAGAGCCATGAAGGTCAGCTACACATTTAGAGCAGCCATGCACCACACCATAGGCAGCCAAGAAATTCAAGCTCCCAATATCTCAAGAGCCCAAAAGAAACCACATAACAAGCTCTCCAAAAAGAAGCAAAAAAGGAAATACTCAAAAGAGTCCAGGTGGCTGAGTAGGCGGACCATGAAGCTAACAGTGGCTGTCATCAGAGTGAATGAGAGCCCAGTAAAGAAGAGGACCTAGGATGAGGACAGAGACCCTATTTCCAGGCTTTCCTCAGGGAGGCCCCTGGGAAGGAGGCTGCCTGTGTAAAAGGAGACTCAGGGTTGGGGGCAGGAAATATCTAACTGAGGGGTTCTAAACCTCAACACAACAGCTCTGGCACAGTGTGGAAAGGTGCCCCGCAGACAGTCTGTCAGCAGCCACAGATCTATCCACTAAAGGAGAGGACAGAACAACCCAGCCAGGACAGCCAAATGTCTCCAGGAACCATCACAAGCTGGGGACATGAAGGTCGGCCACACATTTAGAGCAGTCTTGCACCGCATGAGAGGCAGCCAAGAAATTCAAACTCCCAGTATCTCAAGAGCCCCAAACAAAACACATAACAAGCTCTACCAAAAAAAAAAAAAGAAGAAGAAATAAAAAAATAAAACCAATCAAAAAAGGAAATACTCAAAAACAAAGAAGAAGGGTGCCCACAGTCAACACTGGAGGAAAAATACTCACCATATTCTCATAAGGAAGTTAACACTAGGCGAGAGGGTGGTGCTCACCAGCAAGACACCAAGGAACAACTGCAGTAAAGACGATGGGATGGGTACAAAGGACCCAGAGGATCTAAACATTGGTGGGAAAGAGGCTCAGACACAGAGGACCCAGAGGAGTCTAGCACTGGTGGGCAAAGAGTGCACAATCACAGTAAGCAAGAGACATTGAGCACTGGTGGGTGAGGGGCACTCACCCTCAACACAAAGGAGAGACTTACCCTTGAGCAGGAGGGGCACTCATGCTCAGGACACTAAAGAGACTGGCAACTGCAGAACATGGAGTGCTCCCCCTCAGGATACAGAGAACATGGAATCTTTTGGTGTATATCACTCAGCTCAATGTCTCAGACACCTCAGTACCAGTGGGACATTGGCAGATTTTCACAGGTCTCGTCCTGTAAGTTGGGAATTGTGAGATATCCAGAGAAAACAGAGGGTTTCTACTCTGTGGAAAAGATAGGACATAGTTGCATGTGATAAGAGATATGAACAGGAGAGAGAAGATGGCGGCGAAGGGAGTGCATCACCCCAGTGCGCCGCGTCACTGAGCCGGAGAAAGACGATGTGAAACGGCTGAAGGCTATCTTGTTGGGAATTTCCAGTGAAATTGAGGCGCTCCAGAATCTAGTGGACAGATTTCCATCATGCGAGGTTCGGCTGT